ACCCGGAGGCAACTCCAATCCTTCCTCGGTTTCTCGAACTTTTACCGTTCCTTTTTGCCCAAATTTGCCCAAATTAGCCTGCCACTGACAGACTTGTTAAAAACAAAAGGGAGGGGCCCAGAGGCTACGAAACCTAGCGCCCCGCTTCCCTGGTCGAAGGAATGCCAGGAAGCGTTCATGCGGTTAAAACAGCTTTTCACCTCGGAGCCTGTCTTAGCCCACCCTAATGAAGACAAAAAGTTCATTGTGCAAACTGATGCATCGGATGTGGCAATGGGAGGGGCTATCTTACAAGAGGGGGATGATGGGCTTGTGCACCTGCTTGCCTACGTGTCGAAAAAATTCACTGACTCCGAGAGACATTGGTCTGTGTGGGAAAAGGAGGCGGGGGCTATAAAGCTGACGCTTTCAACATGGAGGCATTGGCTGGAAGACTGTTTTATTTGGTGGAATGGAAAGACTTTGGTCCCCAGCACCTCGAGTGGGTGGAAGTAGGGGATATTCGGGCCCCTCACTTGATCAGAAAATTCCACCGGGAGTTCCCGGGCAAACCGGGAGACCTACCAGGCTAGCCGGGAGGCCGGGGACGTGGTGATGTAAAGTGGGTTTTGAAGAGGGCAGTATGTCAGCAAGCTGCCAAATGTTTGTTTTCCTTCTGTGAGTGTGTGTGCACTTGCGTCTGGTTGTGTATGCTTGTAGATGCGCATGGCTTTGTAGCTCGCCGTAACAATTATTTCTCCCAAGGCCACAGGTGGACGCCGGCTTGTTAGTGCAGAGGAAGCTCTCATGAATCACCGTGAGAAGAAGATAACATGAGAGACTTGGAGCCGTTAGTTCTCAGGCCCAAAGGCGCGAGCAGGGAAAGTCTGCAAGTGCGCGGGGGAAGCCCCGCGAATTGGGCAGTCGTGGTTTGAATGGTTTTTTTTAATAAATTTATTTTCCATATTTTCTCCTTTACATTGTATTTTATCCATACAATTATAATTTTCTTATTTTACATTTCTCTAGTAAAAACAAAACTTCATTCATTCTCATACAGTTTTAACTAGAACATTTTTCACATTTTCCTTTTGTGTTTTAGCCAGTCATATACAATTTTCCATCTTTTCCAAAATAGTTCTTCTGGTTTATTATTCAGTATTAAGCTAAGTTTGTCCATTTCTGCTATTTCCAGAATCTTTTGTTTAAGTTCTCTTGTAGATGGTATGGCTTTCGACTTCCACCGTCTAGCTAAAAGAGATTCAATCAGAGTAGCCATCTTCAACAGCACCGAAGAACCCACACAGGGGAGAAACCTTTTGAATGCTTGGAATGTGGAAAGAAATTTATTACGAGTGGCAATCTTCACCAGCATCTGAGAACCCACACTGGGGAGAAACCGTTTGATTGCTCAGTGTGTGGAAAGAGATTCAGTCAGCGTGGCACTCTTCGACTGCACCAAAGAAACCACACAGCGGAAAAACCTTTTGAATGTTTCATGTGTGGAAAGAGATTTAGTCAGCGTGGCACTCTTCAACAGCACCAAAGCACCCACACAGGGGAGAAACCTTTTGAATGCTCAGAGTGTGGAAAGAAATTCATTTCAAGTGGCCATCTTCAGGAGCATCACAGAACCCACACAGGGGAGAAACCCTTCGAATGTTCCGTGTGTGGAAAGAGATTCAGTCACCGTAGCACTCTTCAACAGCACCGAAGAACCCACACAGGAGAGAAACCTTTTGAATGTTCAGATTGTGGGAAAAGATTCAGTCGGAGTGGCAGACTTCAGTATCATCAGAGAACCCACTCAGTGGAGAAACCTTTTGAATGCTCGGAGTGTGGAAAGAAATTCAGTCACAGTGGCAGACTTCAGAATCATCAGAGAACCCACACAGTGGAGAAACCTTTTGAATGCTCACAGTGTGGAAAGAAATTCAGTCAGAGTGGCCATCTTCAGCTGCACCGAAGAACCCACACAGGGGAGAAACATTTTGAATGCTCGGTGTGTGGAAAGAAATATGGTTATCGTAGCGCTTTTCAGCGGCATCAGAGGACCCACACAGGGGAGAAACCTTATGATTGCTCAGTGTGTGGGGAAAAATTCAGTCAGAGTTGCAATCTTCAAAGGCATCAGAGAATGCACACAGTGTAGAAACCCTTTGAACGCTTAGTTGTGTGGAAGGACATTGAGGTTTTGTGACACTCTTCAACTGCGCCGAAGAACCCACAGAGGGGAGAAACTTCCTTTTCTCTTATTTCACACCTAAAAGACTACTAGAGACCATATAAAGCACTGAAGCTATATAAACTCTTGAAGAAAGCTTGGCTCTCCACTGCAGTCTTACCCTCATCAGGAAGAAATGTTAAAAATGCTTGGACGGTGGAAGGAGCTTTGGCCATGTTTGAAGCCCTCAAATTGATGTCACAGGGAAGAAAGCAAGGATGGGCTCTGCCGTTTGAAGGAGATCCAAGGTCAGCTCATGTCTCCTTTAGCCTGGAGGAGTTCCCACAGAAGGGAGGAACCCCATAAATGCTCAGAGTGGGAAGAGATTGAGGCACAGATCCGATTCTCACGTTCTTCAGAGAATCCATACGAGGGAGAAATATTCCTATAGCTGGTCCTGATGAGGGTCTTCTTCAGACCACCCAGGTGTTGGAGGTTCAGAAAGGCTCAGAAAGTAGTTACAGAAAGGAGGGCATTTTTAGTGGTTGCCCTTCCTCTGTATAACTCGTTACTTCAGGCTATCTGCCAACCTAACTCTTTCAGACTTCTACAAAACTGTCAAAACATTTCCTCTCCCAAATCTTGTGAGGAAATAGACAAGATATCTACAGCCTCTCTGCTGTTGGCATAATCATAGTGTTACCAGCCGGCATCCTTAATTCACAAACATTTTTATCTGACAAGCAGTTTTGGAGAGGCATTAGGTGAAGGTACAGGTTTCCTTGCTCGAAAGCCAGTCTAATCCGAGTCTAGGGGGTGGTGCTCGTCTCATTTTCCAAGCTGAAGAGCCAACGCTGTCTGCAGGCTTCTCCGTGGTCATGTGGCCGGCATGACTAAATGCCGAGGTGCACTGAACTCTTGTTACCTTCCCACCAAATATTATTTATGTATTTATTTTTTATTCAGTTTTTATCCTGCCCTCTTTGCCGAGGCAGGCTCAGTGCGGCTTACATGAAAAGGTTAAAAATATATTAAAACACAAGTGCTTATGCAGTAAAAAGGTAAAGGTAAATGTTCCCTTGCTCGAAAGCCAGTCGAATCCGACTCTAGGGTTGTGGTGCTCATCTCCGTTTACAAGCCGAAGAGCCAGCGCTGTCCGAAGACGTTTCCGTGGTCATGTGGCCGGCATGACTAAACACCAAGGCGCACGGAACGCTGTTCCCATTCTGCAAACTCTTTTTTTTATTTTTTTTATTTTTTTAATAAATTTATTTTCCATATTTTCACCTTTACATTGTATTTTATCCATACAATTATAATTTTCTTATTTTACATTTCTCTAGTATAAACAAAACTTCATTCATTCTCATACAGTTTTAACTAGAACATTTTTCACATTTTCCTTTTGTGTTTTAGCCAGTCATATACAATTTTCCATCTTTTCCAAAATAGTTCTTCTGGTTTATTATTCAGTATTAAGCTAAGTTTGTCCATTTCTGCTATATCCAGAATCTTTTGTTTAAGTTCTCTTGTAGATGGTATGGCTTTCGACTTCCACCGTCTAGCTATCAAGATTCTAGCTGCTGTTATTACATATATTATTATACGCTTGTGGTTTTTTACATTATCCGGAATCATGTTTAATAGGTAAATCTCAGGGTTTAAGGGTAATTTTATTTTAAATACCTCGTGTAAGATTTTTTGGATTTTTTTCCAGTAATTTTTTATTTTACCACACCTCCACCATATATGGAGGTATGTTCCTACGTTTTTCCCACATCTCCAGCATTGTTTGG